TTCTATTCTATTCTATTCTATTCTATTCTATTCTATTCTATTCTATTGCTAATTGCTGCAGTTGTTAATGTCGTCATTGAGAAAATCTGGTTTCCCCCCCACCAACAATGACATCACCCAACTCCCCTGAGAAGATTGGAAACGATGGTCACATGATCCTGGGACATTGCAACCATCATAAATACCTGCCAGTTGCCAAGTGGCCAAATTTTGATCCCATGATTATGGGGATGCTACAATGGTCGGAAGGGTGAAAACCAGTGCCGTTGTAATTTTGAATGGTCATGAAATGAATGGTTCTAAGTTAGTGACTACCTACAGTTTGAGAGAGCTTGCTCTATCATAGCGTAGTGATCTAATACCAATAGCAATAGTCCTTAGACTTTTATACTACTTCACAGTGCTTTACAGCCCTCTCTAAGCAGTTTACAGAGTCAGCATATTTCTCTCAACAATCTGGGTCCTCGTTTTACCGACCTCAGAAGGATGGAAGGCTGAGTCAACCTTGAGCCTGTGAAATGCTAGCAATCGGCAGTTGACAGAATTAGCCTGCAATACTGCATTCTAACCACTGTTCCACCATGGCTCATAATGTGGAAGGATAGGGCACAAAGAAGAGGGAGTCAACCTATTCTCCAAAGCACCAGAGGGCAAGTCAAGAACCAATGGATGGAAACTAACCAAGGAGAGAACTAACTTAGAACTAAGGACAATAAGAACAATTAACTAGTGGAACAGCTTGCCTTCAGAAGTTGTGGGTGCTCCAACACCAGAAGCTTTCAAGAAGAGATTGGACAGCCACTTGTCTGGAATAGGTGGCCTAAGCAGGGAGTTGGACTAGAAGACCTCCAAGGTCCCTTCCAACTCTGTTATTCTATATATTTTTTTCAAAGGTGATATTCAGCAGGTTCTGACCAGTTTTGGAAACCGGTAGTGGAAATTTTGAGTAGTTCGGAGGACCAGTAAATGCCATCTCTGACTGGAGATTTTACAGTATCCTACCCTGCCACGCCCACCAAGCCACACCCACAGAACCGGTAGTAAAAAAATTTGAATCCCACCACTGATTGTGTTATTCTATGTTTTTTTTTTTTTCACAGCCCTAGCTCTGCAATGTGATGGTTACACTACTCTTCTCCAATAAATCTCTTTGTGGAATTTATTTACTACTGAAGATATGCAAGGAAAGAGTGAGTCTACTTTTCCTTTCTCTGTTCTCTCTGAGTTTCATGAAAGCATATATACTATATTTACAGTATACTTTTTTTGTATTTATTTGTAGAGTGAATGAGGGGAGGAAGGGAGGAGGAGGAAGGGAGAAAGGGGGCAATATTGTTCAGGTGGCCTTTGTCAGATGTTGGTTCAAAAAAACCTCAACTCTAGGAAAAGAGAGTTAACCTGCTCTTAACCTGGGATAAAAGGAAATTGAGTGATACGTTACATCGGGCATGGGAGGTGTTGGTTTTCTCTTCCATGCTGCAGAGGTGGTCAGATTTTCAGCTAGCTTTCAGAAGAACATCAGCCTTGTCCTTTCTTGGGCAGCTATTACTTGCATGATGATAAGCTTGATGGTACACTGCATACACTGATTAAGGGGATATGGCAAATGTCCATTCACAAGAGAGCAATTTTCCTCCCTGGGTAGAAGGAGTTGGAAGGACAAGGGGGGACAAAAGACAAAAACCCCTACAGTTGATTATTCAACTTCCTACCCATGCGTGGTTTGTTTATTTCATATTTATTTGAGGTTTTTTTCGATGAGTAGAAGCATAGCTGATATCTAAAATGCAAAATATAGCTGCTGCTGCACAGTACCATTGATACGAATCGGATAGTTTTCTGCTATTAATAATCTTTTGGAGAATTTTAACAATTCCAATCAGATAATTCTTATTGGCTTGCCTTCACTCTGGGCAGCAGAAATTTGAAAGCTTGTTTATTGTGGAATTAACAGGAGAATCACTGCAGAGGAGGCAGAAAGGACTTCACTTACAACAGTTCATTTAGTGACCGTTACAAAGTTACAACAGTACTGAAAAATGTGACCAATGACCATTTTTCATGGTTACAACCTTTGCAACATCTCCATGATGATGTGATTAAAATTCAGATGCTTGGTAGCTGGTTTATATTTATGATGCGGAAGGAAGGAAGGAAGGAAGGAAGGAAGGAAGGAAGGAAGGAAGGAAGGAGAGAGGGAAGTATATTTTTAAAAAAATCATTAGAAGGGTTCCCTCAACTAAAATTAATTGTCACCTTCAAACAAATGGAGCAGTTCTATATCGGTTACCCATCCTTTCTGAAAGTTGAGATGTTTTACTTAGCAGGAAAGGGAACTGTTAATTGTTATGATAGAAAGATGATTGTCCTTTTGCCTTCTGCATCAGGTGTAAAAGTGCTATTTAAACTAGGCAATATAGACAAAATGTGTAAAAAAATCCAATGAGCAACCTTGATTCATGGAACTATTTGCACTTTTAATGTAAAAAATACCCTACTGTTGGGTTGTTGGTTTTTTGCCAACAATATCAGCAAAAAATCCACCTCTAGAGGAAAACAAATGTCCACAATCTCAGATACCTTCACAATTTCTGATATGACAACCAGAGCAACGTCTTGAGAATCCCTCAAATGGCAGCTACATTGCTGGTGGGACATCAGTTTGGAATGTTGAAATAAACAATCACTGTGAAGCATGGCGAGAAGAAATGAAAGGAAATTGACAAAAGGGGAAATGAAAACATAAAATGGCTGGAGGGTGGGTGGGAAGGTGGGAAGCAGAAGTATTTATAGGGAAACTTTCCAAAGCTCAAATCAAGGAAACATTTATCGGGAGGTCTAATTTTCAAAGAAAAATGAAACACCATTGATGTAGAATAGAATAGAATAGAATAGAATAGAATAGAATAGAATAGAATA